TTACTTCCCAGAGACAAAAATGTCCTAGGGATGTTTGACAGAGCCTCATGCTATGCCTGCTCCTTAATTCTAGGAGTCGTGAATTCCAAGTATAAGACTGGAAATGCAAATAGGCCTCCAGAGACCTCTGAAACCTGAATGGCAATATTGTGTTGGGTGGAAATTCTAGTAGCCTTGTATTAGCAGTTCTGTGTTATGTTGTTTCAATTCTTATGAGAGACTAAATAAGTACAGAAATTACTTCTCTGTCTAAGGATGTAGAGAGCTGTGGTTTGGAATATGAATTCTGGAGCCAGGTACTGTTTCCACCTTGGCCATTTACTCTGTCTTCTTTGGGTGACATACTAGTAATCTCTGGGCCTCAGTTTCCACTTCAAAAAATAGGTTATTTTCCATATCCCAGGCTATTATAATTAAGACAATGCACATTAGATTTTGTTGTTGTTAAGTGCTATTGAGTTGGCTCTGACTCATGGCGACCCTGTATAGGGTTTACAGGGAGCGGCTGATGGGTTTGAACTGCCAACCTTGTGATTCACAGTACAGTGCTGATCTTCCAGTGCTACACCAGTGCACATAAAGCTCTTATAATAGTGTTGGACTCAGAACTGCTGATGAGGATTAGCTGTGGTTACTAATGATTTTAGTTGACAGTCTCACATAACTATGACCATCTAAAGTATCAATTTTCCATAGTGACTAATGATTAAATGTCAATATCAAATGTCTATATACTGTATATGGAATCCTGGTGTGGCACCATAGGCTAAACACTTGACCTCAAGGTTGGTTTGAACTGCAAGGTCAGTGGTTCAAATTCACCAGCCGCTCCTCGGAACCCTTACACAGGGTCGCTATGAGTCGGAACAGACTCAATGGCATTTAGCAACAACATATACTGTATGATTCCATGGATATACAATTTTCATAATGATTCAGTTATAGAGCTGGAGAACAAATTCATAACTGCCAGGGATTAGGGATTGGGAGGGAAGGGAGAGGGTATGAGTGTGAAGAGGACGCAAGAGAGAATGCTTCTGTTTTGATGAAACAGTTCTGTGTGTTGATTACAGTGCTGGTCGTATGATCTCTACATGCTATGAACTTGTATAGCTGGCACATGCACATATATAGTGAGAGCATTAGACTGTGCTGGAATCTGAGCAAGGTTTGTAGATACTCATTTCCTGATTTGATGTTGTACTTTTGTTATTTGTGGAAGATGTTGGGAGAATCTGGGGAAAGGATACACAAGACTTCTCTGTACTATTCTTGTGCTTTCAAAATGAAAAATAGAAACTAACCAACCAAGAATGAAGTTTTGAGCTGTAGGAGGCACTTTGGTTACACAGGTACATCAACACACAGTCACAGCCTCCAAAGGCTATAGTTTAGTGGGGAAGACAGAGAAGTAGAGGGAAAGTTGGAATGATATAGCAGAGGTAAACGGGGACCTGGGAGGATCCCAGTAAGAGTGTAGCTCAGATTGGGGGTGACGTTACAGAACATTTCCCAGAGGAGTTGGCTAGCTAATTTTAAAAGTGCATGAATGACACGTGGAAAGAATTTGGGAGCATGTGTCGGCTGCTGTGGCATCGATAGAACTGAGCTGTTTCTTGAGACTTTTGTCCCTGTTGGCTGGAGTCTTCTGGCTGCACAGTGTTCAGTGGCCAGGACATCAGGGAGTCCTTATCCGCTGTTTCTTCTCCCCAGTGTCCAACAAACACCCATTTGTGGACAGCAATCTTCTCTACCAGTTCAGAATGAACTTCCGTCGGAGGCGAAGACTGATGGAGCTGCTCAGTGAAAAGTCCCTCTCCCCTCAGGAAACTCACGACAGTCCCTTCTGCCTGAGGAAGCAGAGCCATGACAACCGGAAATCTACCAGCTTCATGTCAGGTATGCTGTCTGTTCGATGGCATTATGTGTTTTTTGTAAAATAGCACAGTAATACCTCAGCTTTTAAAAATTCACTTCTGAAATAAATTGTATGGGCTCAAGTGTAACAACAATTGTGGGGATGGCACAGGACCAGGCAGTGTTTCGTGCTGTTGTACATAGGGTCGCTATGAGTAGGAACCAATTCAACAGCCCCTAACAACAACATCAACAGTAACGCTTAATGTCTACATAGCTGGTAAGTATGTCTCTGAGCAGCAAACTTGTTAAGGGCTGTTGAGTCGGTTCCGACTCATAGCATCGCTGTATGGGATTTCCAAGGAGCAGCTGGTAAATTTGAACCACCGTGTTCAAATTTATCCTACAGTACCCCACGAAGTCTGATTGTTGTTGTTATTTTAATTATATACTTTAGTTATAGTAGATTCTTTCACTCAGAGCTTTTTAAAACTATTAACTTAAAACAGTTCTTCCCCAAACCAAAAAATACCAAACCAACTGCCAAACTGCCCCACAGGGTTACCAAGTCTGTGAATCTTTAAGGAAGCAGACTGCCTCATCATTCTCTTGTGAGACAGCTTCTGGGTTTGAACCACTAACCTTCAGGTTAGCAGCCAAGAACTTTAAGCATTACACCACCAGGTCTCCTTACAAATAATTCTTAATTATCATGAATTATCCAGATTCCTAAACTATAAGTTTGAAACATATATTTTAAGGATAAGTAATGGATTTCTGGGGGCTTATACATTGGCCCTGATGTCATAATGCTGAAGTGCTTGGCTGCGGAGCAAAAACCTGGTGGTTTGAGCACAAAAAATCGGTGGTGTGGTGCTGTGGGTTAATGCGCTAGACTGCAAAGTCAGTTTGAACTGCAAAGTTGGTAGTTCAAACTCACCAAGCCACTCCTTGGAAACCCTATATAGGGTTGATATGGGTCAGAACTGACTCTATGGCACTAACAACAACAACAACATACTGGCTCTACAGAAGAAAGAGCTAGCAACCTACTTCTCTAAAAGATTGTTGTATTATTGTTAGGTACCATTGAGTTGGTTCCAACTTAAAGTGATCCAGTGTACAGCAGAACAAAACGTCGTCCAATCCTCCAGCATCCTTATCATCATTTCTATTTGAGACTATTATCACAGCCGCTGTATCAGTGTATCACATTGAGGGTCTTCCTCTTGTTCATTGACCCTCTGCTTTACTAATCTTGATATTCTTCTCCAGGGACTGGTCTCTCTGAATAACATATCCAAAGTACACGACAGGAGCATTCTGGTTGGACTTCTTCCAAAACAGATTTGTTTGTTCTCCAGCACCTTAAATCAAATCCATTAACTATTCTTCATTCTTCCTTATTCATTGTTCAGCTTTAACTTGCATATGAGTTGGTTGAAAATACCATGGTTTGGGTTAGGCGCCCCTCAGTCCTCCAAGTGACCAGTTTGCTTTTTAACAGTTTAAATGGGTCTTCTGTAGCAGGTGTGTCTAATGCAAATGTTCAAGATTACAATCTAGAAAACCTATGGGGCTATTCTCCTCTGTCACATGGGGCCACTAGGTGTAGAAATCTACCGGATGGCACCTAACAACAACAACAGTGCACTGGCAACAAGTGATAAAAGATAACTGATAGCCAACTATAGACAAGCCTATGAAGTGAACAGCAACACAGGGGAGGTAGGCACTCCTTCAAACAATTGATTACATGGGATCCAAAGGGCAGCATTTGTCCTGGGATGAAGCTCAGAAATCCTGGGGTTGCGCTGTGGGTTAATGCGCCAGACTGCAAAGCCTTTTGAACTGCAAGGTAGGTGGTTCAAGCTCACTAGCTGCTCCTCAGAAACCCTATAAAGGGGCGCTATGGATCGAAATCGACTTGGCAGTACTTAACAACAACAGCAAAGCTCAGAAGGCAGAAATTTGATAGGACATGGAGGAAATGAGAAGACTGTGTTCAGATTGTGGGGATCGTCATCAATGTCACTAATCAAAATGTGTATGAATGTGGAAAACCTATCTGCTATGGAAAGCTTAACCCGAATCACAATGAAAAGGGAAATAAAAGAAAAAAAGGCATTGATTATAAACCCAACAGCAGGGCTTTCCCACGTGATAGAGAACAAAGAAAACCTATGAGAAATAAACATAAGAGTTCATGAAGCACATTGGATTGGGATATTACATGAAAGGTCCAACAATCGCATGTTGTTGTTGTTGTTAGGTGCTGTTGACTTGGTACCGACTCATAGCAACCCTATGCTAACAGAATGACACACTGCCTGGTCCTGCACCAACCTCACAATCGTTGCTGTGCTTGAGCCCACCGCTGCTGCCACTGAGCCAATCCATCTCGTTAGGGGTCTTCCTCTTTTTCTCCAATCCTCCATGTTACCAAATATAATATTCTTCTCCAGGGAATTGTCCCTCCTGATAATATGTCTGAAGTATGAGAGATGAAGTCTTCCTATCCTGGCTTCTAAGGAGCACTCTGGCTGTACTTCTTCTAACACAGATTGGTTTGTTCTTTTGGCAGTCCATGGTACTTTTAATAATCTTATCCAACACTATAACTTTAAATAGATTAATTCTTCTACATCTTCCTTATTCACTATCCAACTTTCCTATGCATATAAGGTTATTGAGAATACCATGACTTGTGGCTTGAGTCAGGCAAACCTTAGTCCTCAAACTGATACATTAGCTCTTGAATACTTTAAAGAGTTCTTGTGCAGCATATTTACCTAATGCAATACATCATTTGATTTTTTGACCACTGCTTCATGAGTGTTTGATGGTTGATCTGAGAAAAATGAAGTCTTTGACCGCTTCAATTTTTTTTTCTCCATTTAAATTGATGTTATTTATTGGTCCAGTTGTGAGGATTTTTGTTTTCTTTACATTGACATAGTTGCAGTCACATAATTACAGTTATTCCTGACAGAAATGATGATAATTGGTGTTCACAAAGAAAACCCTTCTCATCCAGAAAAAGTTAACATGAAGCAAATATCATTCGGCTTAATAGGACAAGGTACCATCAACTCTCCTGAAAATGTGGCATGACTTCACATAACCGGCTGACCTACAGTTTGGAAGTACTGGGCTTAGCCAGGAACCCAAATCCAGGACAAAATGAATGTTGTTTCTTGGCTCTGAGTTGTAAGTGGCAATAAGAACAGTGAATAACCATATGGATTGAGCACTTTCTGTGTCCCAGGCATTGTGCCATGCTTGGGTATACAGATTTTCTCATTGAATTCTCACAAAAACCCTAAGGGAAGGATTTTTATTACTCTGGTATTGTAGATGAAGAAATTTAGGCATGAACAAATGAGCAGCTTACCCACAATATTATGACTAATAAATGGTAGACGACCTAGATCTCAAATCACGTGTGTTCTGCAACAGTGTTTGTATGAGAATCCTTCCTCCCAGGTTCTTCAAACACATCCAGGCTGGAGGAGAAAATGAACCAAGAGCTAGTCCAGAAAAGTAAAAAGAAACCTAGAGTTAGGAACCAAGTCTGCGTTCTGATGTCGATCCAGTTATGCCTTGAAGGACACAGAGCTGTGTGTCTCTTTATGGTCATGGTCTTTTGCATATGCAGATTAACTGTTTGCTTTCTCATTAGTATACACATTGGCCCATAGACCTGACCAAGTGTTGGCGAGGAATAGGGCTTTGTATCTGTGGTCAGCATTTACTGTGTGTTTGCCCCGTGCCCAGCCTTGGACACAGGGCTCTCCATACCTTCTTCTATCTGACCATGGGCTTGCTCTTTTCCCCGTGTTAAGAGCCAGTCTCTTTCATGGCAGAAAGAACCAGAGCAGATCATTGGAGATGCTGCTTCATATGTACTTCCAAGGCCTGTTTCATATTTTCTGCTGCTTCTGCCATGACTCAGGAACCCTAGAACCACAAGGTTGGCAGTTCAAACCCACCAATCACTCTGCAGAAGAAAGAGATGCAGTTTCCTTCCATAAAGATCCCAGCCTTGGAAATCCTGTTGAGAAGTTTCACTCTGTCCAACAGATAGGTTTGTTATGAGTCAGAATCAATGCAACTACAAAGGGATTTGTTTCCTTGTTTGTTTGTTTTTTCTTTTTTCTCTTTACTCTGGGTAAGGAATGGTTTAAGCTGAAATCACGGGGCATATATTATCACTCTTGACTCGTCATGTGTAAGACCAGCACTAAATTCACATCCTAGCAGGGATTGCTCAGTTTGGGCTTGGCAATTCTTGAAATAATATTTTAGGTATCTGGGAATGTTCATATACATTACATAATCCACTCCTATTGGTAACATTATAGCCACTTTACAGATAGGAAAATTGAGGCTCAGGGATGTGAAGGGATTGCACTCATGCTGTACTGTTAGTAAGTGGCAGAGCTACAATTCACATCCCTGCGTTTCTCACTCCATGGTCAGTGCTTCTGTGTAGAGATGGTGACTCACCTTACCGTACCTCACTGCTGAACGCAGGTGTGTTTTAGGGCAGCAAGCCCGCCAGCCTCAGTGACTGTGTGTTTTCTGACCTATGCAGTCAGCCCTAGCAAGGAGATCAAGATTGTGTCTGCAGTGAGGCGGAGCAGCATGAGCAGCTGCGGCAGCAGTGGCTATTTCAGCAGCAGCCCCACACTCAGCAGCAGCCCCCCGGTGCTCTGCAACCCCAAATCTGGTAAGTCCTGGTGCTGGCTGCGGCTCTGGGGTCTTGGGCAGATATGCGGCTGGCTTCTCTGGGAGGCAGATTCCGAGATGGAGACTTGTGTGCACGGGAGGACTAGACGGTATGAGGGTAGCTTTGGGAGCGATTGGTCTGCAGTGTCATCTCAGTGGACACTACAGCTGCTTTCAGGGGGAGCTCTGGAGCTGGAATGACTCTTTAAAGTCACTCTAGGTTTCATGCCCACAACCCCCACGTTTTGTACCCACACTGCTTCCCATAGTCTTGCACCCTTTTTCCTAGATCACTTATCTTTGTTGTTGTTGTTAAGTGCTGTCGAGTCGGTTCTGACCCATAGTGACCCTGTATAGGGTTTCCAAGGAGTGGCTGGTGAGCTTGAATCACCAATCTTGCAGGTCAAACAGACTTTGCAGTCCAGCACATTAACCCGTAGCACCACACCAGGACTCCACATCACGTATCTGTTGTTATTAAGTACCATGGAGTCGGTTCCGACTCATAGCGAACCTGTACACGGTTTCTGAGGCTGTAAATCTTTACGGGAGCAGAAAGTCTCATCTTTCTTCCATGGAATAGCTGGTAGTTTCGAACTGCTGACCTTGTGGTTCGCAGCCTGATTCGTAACCACTATGCTACCAGAGCTCCTTATTTTATGTATCTTGTTGTTGTTGTTAAGTGCCATCGAGTCAGTTCCGACCCATAGCAACCCTGTATAGGGTTTCCGAGGAGCAGCTGGTGAGCTTGAACCACCAACCTTGCAGTTCAAATGGCTTTGCAGTCTGATGCATTAACCCACAGCACCATACCAGGACTCCACCATTAATTCACTCGCCTATGTGTTTAGTATACTCTTCACCCCCAGGACAGTTTAGCACTTCAGGGACAAAACTGTGCTTATCTTCTTCATACTGTTTCCTCATCACTAAGCATAAGAGATACAAAGAAAAGAAGCCATAGCTTCTGATCCCAAAAAGTCTACCATCTCTTTAGATGAAAAGATAAAACCACTGACTCCTCACTTATCAGCATGGCTAGGTTATAAAGACCAGGTTGTTAAGCAAAAGCCAGTGTTATGTGACCAATGGAAGATAACCACGTCAGATCAGAAACATAGAGAGGACTACATCATTACGTAACTTCCAAACCACTGAGAATCATGGAGCCTCTAAGTTGTCACATGACCTTACCCATCACAGCCAGCGTTACTCTCACGGCACACCTCAGCATTCATAGTAATGTGCATGGTATTTGGATAGGCAATTTTTTATTGTTGTGATGAATGTGACATGTCAGATAATGAGACAGTCAGTAACTGAGGAGTAGGTGTTTATACGGTAGTGAGAAAAGGACTAGTAGATAGTATTCAAAGTGTTATTGTATGTGATTATTACCTAGGTCAGTCATTTCTTTACCCATGACCTAACACTTTTTAAAGCACCTGTTCAAGGTTTAACTCCAGGAATAAAGTTGTTACCTTTAAGTGAATGAAGAACTGCTTTCCAGTCTGACTATAGCAGAAAAATCACGGAGCAACAGGCATTTGTTGTCAAATACCATCGAGTCAATTCATGGGGTATAGATGATAAGATAGAAATGAGGAAAGGAGATTTTATTTTTACAATGAAAATACTTTAAGCTCAAATAAGGAGCTCTGGTAGGGTAGTGGTTACAAGTAGGGCTGTTAACCTCAAGGTCAGCAGTTCGAAACTACCAGCTGTTCCGTGAGAGAAAGATGACGCTTTCTGCTCCCATAAAGATTTGTTGTTGTTGTTGTTGTTAAGTGCCGTCGAGTCGGTTCCGACCCATAGTGACCCTGTACAGGGTTTCCGAGGACAGCATCTTAAATTATATACTGGGTTGCTATGAGTTGGAACAGACTCCGTGGCTTACCACCACCAACTACCACCAAGTCCAAATAGATATCATTTCACCCTGTTCCATTTCTCCATAAATTTTCCCAAAGCTCCATAAATTAAGGTTAAGGCTTTTGATGTTTGCAGATACCTTCTGTGTCGGTCAGATGGAGTACCAGCTCTGTGAGGCAGGGGTCTTTGCCAGTGTTGCTCACAGATGGTCCCATGTGAGGTATTTGATGAATACCTTGAAATTGTGTCTGTCTCACAGTGTTAAAGAGACCTGTCACGTCTGAGGAACTCCTAACGCCAGGGGCCCCATATGCAAGGAAGACATTCACGGTAGGTCCTAATCCTTTGTTTCATTTCGATTTTCCTATCCATGTGAATGTGTCCTTAAGTAGCTTCCACACTGACTTGAAAACATGTTCTTTGTAGTCTATTGGTTTCTAACACAATTATAATAGACTTTCTTGACCCTTAGGCATGAAAATCTCAATTGTACTCATTAAAGATGAAGACCTGCTGCGATTTATTATTAATCCTGCCTTTTAAGTTATTTTTTCTATTTTGTAATTATTCTAATGTAATTACTACTTCTGATACAAATATTTTAAATGTATCTGAATTACAGTTCATTCTAACAATAATTTAAGACTTTAAAGGAGGCTCTGGGATAAATTAGCAGCTAACTGAGAGGTCCACAGTTCAAATCTACCAGCCGTTCTGCAGGAGAAAGATAAGACTTACTACTCCTGTAAAGATTTACAGCCTCAGAAACACTATACAAGGTCGCTATGAGTTGGAACCGCCTTGATGGCAGACAACCATCCAGCCAACCAATGGGATAAATTGGAGTACTTGTGTGCATTTGTAGGATAAGCGTTGGACTTCTAACCAAAAGGTTGACAGTTCACACCCACTAACTGGTCCTTGAAACCCTATACAGAGTTGTTATGAGTCAAAACCAACTCGACGCTACTTCATAGCAACAACATGGGATAAATTGTCCTAAAATAATAACTGGTGCCTTTGGCGAGCACCACGCTTTGTATTACAAGCACCTGATTTTAAGTACTTTGTACAAAGCCATTTGGACTGCAAAGTTGGTGGTTCAAGCTCACTAGCTGCTCCTCAGAGACCCTATACAGGGTCACTATGGATCAGAATCGACTCAATAGCACTAAAGAACAACAGCCAACTTGTAAGCAGCTCCTGATGACCTCACATCTTCTTGGAGGCCCTTCAGCCTTCTTTCTGACTCTCATCAGCCCCAAGGTTTATTTTCAAACAGAATCAAAGTATTCTGTAATCACCTCAGCCACCCTTCCCCCTCCCCCTCAAGTCTCCTCACACCAACATCCATCTTCTCTTTCCATCCAGTCTTCTAGCTTTTGTTCCATTACCTCATGGAAATGCCTCTTCACACACACTCACTGTACAAACAAGCATCAAAGGACCACTTCAGATTCCCCATTTCTGGGGTAGGTGTCAGAACAGGACAGGCCCAGCTCCTGCCCTCAGGTGCTCACACATTCACCTTCTTGGGTCTGGAAATCAAAATCCCACTGTGACCATAGCTGACCAATATGTGAAAGGTACAGGTAGTATGTCTTGTGCCAGAGACAAAGGAAAACTGTATACATGGATGTGAAATGAGGTATTGTACACTAGTGCCAGCAAACCTCAAGTCACTGAAGTGTCTAAAAAAGTCATCTTGAGAATTTCCCCCCAAATTTTCATTTGTTTCCAGGCTTTTCCTCAACCATCAGCATTCAAGAGGCAGTTGATTGTATCTGAAGGGTATTTACTTTTGGTTTTGAATTTAAATGCCAGCATTGCTAGTAATTGATTGTGAATTTATTTCATCTGTAATTCAATTGGGATGTGGGTTAAAGACATGATGTCTGGGAACTTCCCAGGGTACAGAGCTGACAATTGTAGTAATGATTCTATAGGGAAAATGCCAAATAACTTTTGCATGAAAATCTATCTGTAAAATGTGAATTTCATGTATTTTCTTTCAATTTACTTTCTTTGAAGAGAAAATTGGATTTCAACAGAGCCAAATGTCTTTATATTTCCCACCATTCATAATTTAAGTCACTACTTCAGACCTCAATGATGTACCATGCTCATCAAGAATGTACCATTTGGATCTAGGGGAACAGAATACACTGGAAGTTGAAATTTGATCTGGGAAGACATTTCAACTACATTTTTAAGATCTTCTGAGCCTTCCATTGAAGTCTGAAATTAAGTTGGATAGCTATCTAAGAAAGAGACCATCTGCCAGTTATTTGTCTCATGCCCTTGGAGTAGTAACTTCTTCATGCCAAACAAGTGTAGGTTTCTTGAGCACATTTTCCATAGAGCTATGCAGACCTATATCAGCCTAGTAAAGCGATTCATTCCCCTGAGGAGGTAAAGATAAAATGGAGAAAATGAATGTCATAGCATGGGCTTAATCCTTGGCTGGCTTTCCTCTTTAGATTGTTGGTGATGCCGTTGGCTGGGGCTTTGTGGTTCGAGGAAGTAATCCATGCCATATCCAAGCCGTGGACCCCAGTGGCCCTGCAGCTGCTGCAGGAATGAAGGTACTAATCCATCTTGTCCCACCATCTTTTGTTACCTGTCCTGGGGTTTCAGGCCAAAACAGCCATTGTTCTTGCTTGGGATCCAAACTCCTGTGATTTTACATACATTCTTTTCCTATTTCTTTTTCTTCTTCTTCTTTTTTTTTTTTTTGATTCTGCCAAATACCGAAACATTTCCCTGGTTCTTCATTCTCCTCTAACAGACAAAATAAAACAAAAAACCTTAGCTGTCCAGTTGAGTCTAATTCACAGCAACCCAGTGCAAATCAGAGTAGAACTGTACACCCTCCATAGAGTTTTCAGTGGCTGATTTTTTTGGAAGTACATACTCACACCTTTCTTCCCAGATGTTTCTTGAACCTCCACTCTTCTGGTTAGCAGAGTGGGAGTGTATGGAAAGAGAAAAGTGGGCAACCCAAATGGCTACCCATCTGGATAATCAGCCCGGTATGGCGATTATCCCAAGTTGACAGTGTTTCCCTCACAGTGAGGAGGTAGTGATTGGCTGGGCACTGAACTCTGAAGGAGCTAGAGAATTCTCTATTTCATCAGAACTTCAGAGTAGGAAAGTTGGCTAGAGCCATAAAGGCAAGTATTTCTATCTGTGCTGAATTTTTTATTTTCTAGTGGAACACTTGGTTGTGGCCAGGATTTTTTGTTTTATTTTTACTATAAAGTGCATAGGATAAATTATTTTTGGCAATGGTCCACATGACTCTTTGACTCAAGACATGTTTCCTTTGGGAAAAGCAATGGATGTACACTACAGCTTAAGACTTCATTTTGTTTAATCAAATGTACCATGAATTTAATTATTTTAGTCCACCTTTATTGACTGACATGCTTAACTCTGTTTTGGGCATTGCTGTTTGATTAATTCTTTAAGATAGAAGAGTGGACTTGAAAGAGTTCATGGAAAGATGAAATGAAAAGATAATAGAATTCTTCCAGGAACTTTCTCAAACCTCTGCATATATCCTGGTAAGTGGGTTACCTGATGTTTTTCTCAGTTTTATGAACTAACATTTCACTCATAGTTTGAGTTCTCAAGAAGTCTGCAGAGATTTTTCACATGGCATACAGCAGTACAGAATGTATCAAGGTGAGATTTCCTGAACTGTCCATGTTGCTCACTGGTCAGCGAACTAACTTGTCCTGGGTTTCTGTGGTCAAAGCCATTTATAACCGCTGGGCACTTAACCCCCCTCTTGGAAATTCACAAAACACACACATATTAAAAATGTTGATAAATCTTGAAGTTAAACAACCTGTATAAATTGTTTAACAGTGCTTTGGTATTTAATATAAACATTCAGGTGGAATTTTTATTAAGATTGTTAAGATAGAGATCTTATTAACTGTTCTAAGAAAATTATTTTGGTAAAATGGATTCCTTAGACTAGATTGACATATACATATAGATTATGTATATATACAGTTGTCCATTTGAAATACATATTTCTTAATAGTACTGTTTGTTGGCTAACGAGACATGGAGCATAAAGGGTTAAGAGTTGAGCTGCTAACCACAGTGTCAGTGGTTCAAACCCACCAGCCACTCCTCTGGAGAAAGATGAGGCTATCTGGTCCTGTAAAAATGTACAGTCTTGGAAACCGTATGTAGTACTTCTTCTTCTTTTGATTTGAGAATTGAGTGAAGTTTTACAGACAAGATCATGAGCTTTATATTCAACCAATTATATGCTATGTTTCATCTCAATGATTGCAATCCTGTTCACTGGCATTACCTGACCACTGATTGACTGCAAAGTCTCAGTAGTAAAAATGGTCCAAAATCCGAATGAAGCATCTCCTTTTAGTGTCTGATTGGCAGTGATAGACCCCACCCACATGGTACAACGACCGCAGTGCCTTCACTGTCCCTTCCTGCATCGAACACCAAGCTCACTCAGCAGGTCCTGGCCCCAGCATTACTACTGATTTCTGCTGAGGATAGGGCCCTGCATCTGGGTCTTTGTGGCCACTTTACCCAGTGGGCAATTCATATCTATACTGTGACTGCCCAATTTCACTGTTTCCTTGCCAGGAGTGGAGATCATCATGTAATGAAGTTTCTCATTGGCCTCTTCTCTATAAATTCACTTTATTATGGGGTTCAAGAATTTTTAAGATGTGGACCCACCAGTATGTGAACAGGATAAGCTCCATACTGAAGAGATTAGGTATCATTATGCCTGTTAATGTTTAAAATCTTTTGGCCAGGAATAAGTAGAACTCTGAATCCATGGCTGAAGAAGACCATCGTCTTCTTTAATAAGCATTAAAATTTACTTCTCTGTAGAACTGGGAGAACTCCACAGTAGCTGTGTCCTTGGATTGAGTGGCCAGGGCTATGCTAACTCATCTAAGTCATCTAACCCTAGTGTCCCAGAAGTCTTCATGGTCCTGACTTCTTCTGAGCTGCCTTAGACCAATGGTATCCAGATCAGGCAATTGAGGTGCAGGAAGGGTCTCAGATGCATACCAGACAACAAATAAATGTGCAGATGTAATGGGTTCTAACCTGACTTCAGTTGTCAGTTGAATTGAATTTTAGGTTTCTGTGTGAAATATTAGACTTTTAAGATGTCAGATTTGTTTCAATTTTTTGTTTTAGCTCCTTTCCCCTCCTAGTTAGTTACCTTCTCTTCTTCATGTATGAGTGACATATTTGTTTCCAAAACCCAGAAAATGAACAGAGATTGTCACAGACCACAGAAGCTCCAAATATTCTTACTTTTAGCTTTGAAATGACTCAAAGAACTACACCAAAAGTAACAATTAAATTATACCTTTTCTAAAAAATCACTGTATTCTTTCCTACTACTCTCCTCCCCTTCCATGCCCAGAGAACAATGGCTATAATTAATTAAACTTCTCACTTGACCCAGCATCTGTGAATTTGGAGTTAGTCTTATTTTGCAGGGTCTTTTAATTGAAATATAAAATCTTTCAACCTGACTTGGAGGGCCTTTGGAGCATGAACCATGGCAGTCCTCAAAAGTTTAGTCAACCCATGCACTGCATTTTCAAAGCTTTCTTCCTGGGTTTGCCCAGTGCCAACTTTTCATTCACTAGCAATTTCGTACCAGGAGCTCCTGATTGATTCCCAGGCAAGGAAAAAGGAAGAAAGATAAGAAAGAGCTGTCATTCACTGAGTCTTCTAGGGACCTGATCTTGCATCCATTCTGTACATGAGTCCCTACAATGTCTGCATCGAACTACTAATTTCTTGGAGGAATAAACTGTTTCAGGAGGAAGAATTCTGTGTGGCACTGTAGGATCAGCACCGGACTGCTAACCCAAGTTCGGTGGTTCAAACCCACCAGCCACTCCTTGGAAACCCTACGTAGGGTCGCTATGACTTGGCACCAATTCGACAGATACATAACAACAACAACAATTTGACAAGGAAGCCAGTTCTACCTTTATGCTCTTCCACACGCTGCAGTCCTATGTCAGAGTCAATCACTTCATTAGGTTGATTTGTGGGGCAGACACAGGCATAATCCTGGTGTGGTGATAGAGGATAAACACCAGATTGCTAACCGCAAGGTCGGCAGTTCAAACCCACTAGCCGCTCCTGAGAAACCCTATACAGGGTCACTATGAGTTGGAAACAACTCAAAGGCACTCAATTTGAATAAATTCCAGATGACTTCTGTGGCCTTCAAAACAGCATCCAGGCCTGTGTACCATTTCCTGCTCTAGGGTGCTCTGTTGAGCAGACAGCACCATTGGCCTTCTCTCTGTTCCTCCCAAATCCCACCTTTGTTTCTGCCAAAGGTGGGATGGCTAGTCTCATTGTTGTCAGTCATTCAGCTCTCAGATTAAATGTCACTTTTTCAGAGAAGCCTTTGTCTTAGTTACCTAGTGCTAACATCAAAAAATATCACAAGTGGGTAACTTTCAAGAACATAAAGTGTATTTTGTCACAGTTCGGGAGGCTAGATGTCCTAATTCAAGGTGTCAGCTCTAGAAGGAGGTCTTTGTCTAGCTCAGGTTCTTGGAACTGCCGGCAATCTTAGAGTTCCTGGGTTTCTAGACTCATCTGTTTGCTGTCTCCCTATGGCGCAGTTCCCCTGTGTGTGTCTGTGTTTTTTCTGTTTGCTTTATAACTCCGGATCCACCCTACTCTGGCATGATTTCATTAACATAAGAGGGAAACCCTTATTTCCAAACAAAGTCATATTTACAGTTACAAGGGTTAGAATTCCAGTGTTGTAGTTCAGGGAACAGGAGATGCAGTACAATCCAATCCCCAACCCTTCCTTAAAGACCTTGAGCTAAGGCCTGTCTTCCTTCTAGTGTTCTTCACCAAATCACCCTGTCTATAATCTTCATACTATTTATCACAGTCAAATGATATTTATTTGTCTGTTTATTAATCTGTTTCGGTAGCTCCACAGGTGCTGGGACATGGTATGTGTACAAAGGAAGTTTGCTGATTGAGCAAATGAACTGGTTCTTCTACAGAAACAAAAACTTTGCCATCGAGTCGATTCTAACTCATAATGACCCTATATAGGGAGTAAGACAGCCTCATCTCTCACGGAGCTGCCAGTGGGTTTGAACTGCTAACCATAAGGTGTCACCAGGGTTCCTTGGAGTGGCTGAGGGGACTCTGTGAGTAACTGCCGTGCTGCGTGTCTTCACACATTTCACAAGCATCCTCTGTTTTATGGCTCTAGCCACTCTGCAAGATGGTGGTAGTGTTCTCCACATTTTACAAATGAGGACACTAAGATATGGTTAAGGTCCTTCTGAGGTAATCCAATGTCAGACCTAGATTCAAACATGAGCTCTCTGCCCCAAAGCCCATATGTATCTTACTGTGTTGTTAAGAAATACCCATGAGGCAGAGCCCATATTCCATCAAAATCTTCCACCTCTGGTGATCTTCCCAGTGCACTTTTCATATCTCCTGCCACACGATTTTGTATTTAATTCAAAATGCTTGCTCAGAATGGTCACATGTCCACTGGGATAGGCTCAGAGAA